AAAACTGAACTTGAAAGTGTTACTCATTTGTTTTATGACTGTTTGTATAGTGCTACATTTTGGAGAGAGCTTGAAAATTATATACTGTGCAAGACAACATACGAAATCAAAATTGAAGGGAAGAACATTATCACTTATTTTGAAACTAAAGAGAGAAAAAAATGTGCCATTGTCAATCTTTATATCTTATTAGGGAAATTCCATATACATAAATGTAAATTTCAAAACTCAACCCCATCGTTTAATTTGTTTTTGATTGAAATTGAATATTATTTAAACTCTCTTAAATTAACTTCTAACAAGAAAGGTTTATCACTGATTGAAATTCATTCAGAAATGTTTAACAAATGAGCTGTCACAAGTACTAAATTATGAAGTCTGTCACATCCCCCCCCTTTTTTTTTTTTTTTTTTAATTTATTTGTCCTTCTTGTTTCATTGTACTATATATTGTTGCTTTTGTTTGCCTTGTATGTCTACTATTTAGGCTGAACTGGAATGACTGGCTGTTCATTTTGCAATTTCAATAAAGTTTGGAAAAAAAAAAAAGACGTTTCCTGGCTGGTGTCGCTTTTAACTTTATCTAATTCTTCTTTAAAATACTTTCCTGCAAAACAAATTGGAAAAGTACACAGTACAACTGCATTAATGAGAAAAAAATATATAAAAGAAAATGAATATGAATTCCACAAGAAGTCTTTGTTTTTCTTTTGGCGACTTTGTTTTAAAATATAAACCACTATCTTTTTTCTTCTTTTCTTTTTTTAAAAGCAGAATAAAAGGGTGAGAATAACTTTTATGTTTGATAAATGATCAAAAAATGAATGCTGTACATTACTGGAGAAACTGGGACAGGTAAAAAAAAATATCAATAACTCATGGTCTTTAGTTTTTTTTATGTTGTTAGGTCCAACTGGAGATTATTCTAAAACAAATCCTTACATGATTCTGTTTCAAACATGTAAGAATTTGTCTTTGATGTTTGTGGCATAATTACTAATAACAGAGTAGGTAATATTTATTCATTGTTTACTAACTAATAATCAAATGCAGAGAGGTGTATGAACACCTAGTGATTGAGAAATGTGAGAAACACTCAATGCATCATAGGAATCCCCTAGAAGCCAACACCTATGGCAGTGTAATTATGGGGGGATTCAGCGTCACCTCATCCAGCCCTAACCATACACTTTATCAAAGTTTAAGTGTAATCTTAACAGCAGAGACGGCGTCTGTGTCCTGAATCCAAACTGAGAGCTGGTTCTACAGAAGAGGGGCCTGAAAGCTGAAGAAGGCTGTGCCTCCCATTCTACTTTTAAATGCTCTATGAACCACAAGTAAAGAAGCAGTCTGAGAATGAAGAGCTTGTCTGGGGTGATACGGTACAATAGGGTCATTAAGATGGGGAATGATTATTCAACACCTTGTATGTGAGGAACAGGATTTTAAATTTGATTACAGATTAAACAGAGAAAGGAGAGGGCAATAAATATAGAAATATGCTCTCTTTCTAGTTCCTGTCAGTACTCTTGCTGCAGCATTTTGGATCAACTGAAGGCTCTTCAGAGAGTTTAGTCATCCAGGTCTTTATGTCTTTAAGACATTCCTGCAGTTTTAAAATTAAAGTGACTGAAAGATTGCAAAAGATTGCATAAAAATGTGAGGAGCTAAAGCGTTTTTAACACAATCCCTTAATTTCAGGGGATTCAAAGTAATTGACAAATTAAATAACAGAAAAATAAATGTCCATTTCTAATACTTGGTTAAAAAAAAAAACTTTACTTACAATGACAGCCTAGTTCTTGAACTCATGGACATCACCAGATGCTGGGCTTCCTCCTTTTTAATGCCCTGTCAGGCCTTTATTGCAGCGGCTTTCAGTTGCTGTTTGTTTGTGGGCCTTTCTGTTCAAAGTTTGTCTTCAACAAGTGAAATGTATGCTCAACTGGGATAAGATCAGGTGACTGACTTAGGCATTTAAGAATATTCCAATTCTGACAAATTGCAAACTCCCCTAACAGAGGCAAAGTAAAGGAAGGATCTGTGCAATGAAAGCTGGAAAGTCACCAGGAATAGATGGCCTCCCAGCAGAGTTTTATCACAAATTTAAAGATTTGCTACGTCCATTTTTAACTGAGTATTACATGAAGCCTTTGAATATGGACGGCCCCCTGCAAATTTTAATCTGGCCATAATATCAGTAATTCCAAAGGCGACAAAGATTTAACGGATCCAGGCAATTACAGACTGATAAATGTAATCAGTGGATTACAAAATTCTATCCAAAGTATTAACAATGAGGCTGGAGGTTGTACTACCACAATTATTCATAAAGATCAAGTAGGGTTTATCAAGAATAGACACAAATCCTGCACTGGCTCCATATTTAAATGCACAGAAGGACTTGATACGGTGGAGTGGAAATATCTGTTTAGGACCCTGGAAAAATTTGAATTAGGCGACAACTTTTGCAGATGGATTAGAACCATATATTTGAGGCCAGAAGAAGCTGTATTTACAAATGGGGTACTTTCTCCTTTTTTTAGTATTTCCAGATCAACACGTCAAGGATGCAATTTAAGCCCATTGCTATTTATAATATTTTTAGAGCCATTAGCTATTCAAATCAGAGAAAATGCAGAGATTAAAGGTGTATTTGGGGGAGGCAGAGAACACAAATTATTCCTGTATGCAGATGATGTGCTGATATTAAACCAAGACCCAACTAATTCTATCACAAAACTATTAGAGGTGATTAATACATCAATGTTTTCGGGGTACAAAATTAATTGGCATAAATCAGAGGCGATGCCAGTTTCCCAAACTTGTAGTCATAACCTAATATTGGGCTTTAACTTTAAGTGGGTGGACAAAGGAATGAAGTGTGTTGTAATTGAATTGAACCCAAATATTGAGGATATTATGGCTAACAGTATGGGAAAATTAATAAGCAAAATCAATAAAAATTTGGATAAATTGAGTAAACTAGTTTGACATTGTGGGGAAAAGTAAACAGTAAAAATGGTTATATCAACACTCATCAGCTATTATACAGGAATGTTGCCCATGTGTATCCCACGACAGATGTTCCAAAGCTATAATAATATGATAAAAGATTTTCTTTGGAAGGGTGGTAAACCCCGTATTAACATAAATTGACTGTCCCAATCTAAGAAAGAAGGGGGACTAGCCCTGCCCAATATAGAGTATTATAGTATCTCTTTTGAAATGGCTAGATTAGGCAAACATTGGGCAGGGAAAAATAATATAGACTGGATTTTAATAGAACAAGAGCTTGCATCTCCATTCACACCAATTGATATTTTATCACAAAAAGTGAATAATCACGGTAAGACGCAAAACCCTATTTTGAAATTTTCGAAAATGGTATGGTTGGAGGTGCATAAGAAATATAAACTTGTGCCATATGTACAGAAGTATGCCCCCTTGTGGTATAATCCTAAAATTAAAATTGGTAAGCAGACTGTTTACTGGACACAATGGCTGAGAAGAGGTATCAGAACTGTTAGTGACCTATTTGAAGGGGGTGTTTTCATGTCGTATGAGGATATTACAAATAAGTTTTGTTTGGAGCGCTATGGCCATTTTTGGAAGTATTTACAAATAAGAAACTGTTTAAAAGGAAGAGTTACAATAACACACGACAGTAACCCGATAGATAAGGAGGGATTTATTCAGCACAAAATTCTTAATATATATTATTATACTCCTTCAGCGCTGTGTAGAATGGGTGTTGGTAGAGAAGACTTGTGTTGGAAATGTCGACAAGTAAAGGTACTGATACACGCCCTCTGGGAATGCCGGCTGTTTTTTCCAGTTTGGAACAGTGTATTGAATTATATGCAGGGATGGATACCTTGTAATTTGCCCAGATCACCTAAATCATGTCTACTGGGAGACAAAGGAGAGATGCCACAGTTAAATCAACACCAGTTTAGAGTGTTAAGCACTGCATTGGTAACGTGCATTTTTTTTAAGAGGGAAAAAGTTGCGGGTGACAGGTGATGTGAAAAAATGACGAATTATAGCAACTCTGCTGACAGTGTTTACACGTGCTTCCATGGCAACTGCGTCAGACAGAATGTTATTGGATTTGAAAAAAATAAATTTATTAGTAAACCTTTGTGTTTGCAGCATTCAGCATACTCAGCATACTCAGATACCTGTGATTGCAGCGAGAGAGAGAAAAAACGACAAGCATACACTGATCCACTAAAGATCAACCAGAGACAGGTGAACACCTGATCCCTAAAGGTATGAGCTTGGTG